TTACAAAATATTGCTCTTCCCAGTGACATTCAAAAATGATATCTCCAAACTAAGACTGAGTACTGCAATTACATAAGATGCATTGATGCAGCAGCCTATTTTACAATCACATTTTCCCGTAGAGTTACCATAATAACTATTTAAGCTTACAGAACAGTTTCAATTTCCGTAAACCGCTCCCTATCATAAAAAAAGGAAATTAATAAAACCAAAACGAATCTATTAAAAATGTTAAAAACCAAAATCCAAGCAACTCTTGCAAACCTTCCAATCTTTCTCAGATAAAGTTAATCCGGAAACACAAAACAACAAAAATGGCGAAAAGACGCTCACCGATTCCTCTTGAGAAGCGGCGAAAGGCAAAACTGAACGTTCCCGAAAATTTCGTCCCCTTAATGGAACCAGATTAAGGCCAAACCGTCTGGGAGGAACTACTCGGGCTACAATAGATATTTTATAGTAATTGTGCGGTCTGTGCAGGGCTTGAAATCCTAGCGACGAGGGCGGCGAGTAACACAGCGCCATTGTAGAAGGAGAAAAAGCTCTGTTCAAGCTAGGGTTTCGCAATGTAATCGAGTCTATTCTGATGCTCATTGGAGTTTAAGAAGTAGCTGAGAAAAGCAATGCGTGATTGTCACTAAGGTGCGCCGAGGAGCGCTATACGCGATACCTTGGCATATACATAAAGAAAAGAAAAGAAAAATGTCCTGTCTGGAAAGATGACGTATGACGACACGTGTAATGGAGGGCCCACTGAATCTGTTAGGAGTGTAGCCTTAAGATGCAACTGTGATCGTTAAAACTTTGGGAGATTGGCGGAAGTAACACCAAAAAGATGCACTGTTGATATAACCATTATTTTATGGTAAGAACCTTGCAAGCAAAGGATAGATACGACACCCCAAAATACACTCTTAGGACAAATTCTCCCTTTTTGTCATGTGTTATATGTTGCCTTTAATCAATTTTGAACCGTCACTTAAAATCAATTGACTCTATTTTGATAAATTCATCTTCAAATCGTAAATATTGCACAATATAATGGACTTTGCATGACAACAGAGAAATATTTTATTTATTTATTCATCTTCAATCGTATTAATATAAGGCTTTTTTAATTACATGGATTTTATATGATTAGCTTTCTAAGTGAAGTCAAGATGCGAAGAAGTCACAATTGAGTCGATGAAGTTTTATCTGTGATGAAAATCCTATTAAACTTCAAGTTCGACCTCAAGAAACTTTTGATATTTCAAACGGTGATACAAAACTTTCTATCTACCAACCAAAGGCGTGTGAAGGGGAACTGATATGTAGTTCGATCCGGTTTCCCAGCACATATCCAATTTTCTCTCTCTCTCTCTCTCTCTCTTTATTTTTGTAATTTTTGTTTTTGTTAATGGTTTTTGTCTTCTTAAGTATTTGATTGTAGAGTGTTGAATGTTTATTGTGTTTAAATTTTAATCGTTGGGTTAAAAAGTGTAAAGAAGAACATCATATTTGTATGGTTATGCAATCAAATTAATGAAAAAATAAAGCTAAAAAGTAATAAAACATCGTGAATAATATTTTGACAATCCATATTAATCAATGATGAATAATATTGACATTATATACAAAGAGTGATTGTTATCATTGATTCATTGATCGGGGTGGGTAGTAAAGAAAAATGTGGAATTCTCTATTTTCTGTGAAGGGATGTGATTGATTTAAAAATTATTTGTCTTTTCTATTTTTTTTAAATTGATTTGATTTAAGTTTTATATAATAATAATAATAGTAATAATAATGATGATGATGATGATGATATGATGATGATGAATTTGTAAAATTTAACCAAATTAATAATAATAAGGAATTTGTAAAATTTAACCAACTAATGCTAGATGTATATAAGCATCTACATAAGGGTGTTCATAATGTTGATGTAGCATGTGATCCCACCTCTAATTCAAATCTGACACTTACACATCAATGATCGGATGATTGCCACATCAGCATTATGGACACCCTTATGTAGATGGTTATGTACTTCTATCATTATCCTTATTACTATTGATCGTTTCTTTAAAATAAAAAAACACCCACTTAAATGTCAATGCTTATCAACTTCGCGTGAACAAGAACGCCATT